AAAAAAATAGAAACAAAAAAACCAAATATAAAAACAAAAAAATCTTGCTCAACAACCTTTCTAACTCGAAGAACCACAAAAAATTCAAAGCAAATCCAAGAACACTTGCGCTTTCAAAAACAATTGACGACAAATTAACGTCAGTCCTCAATTCCATTAATAAACACAAAATATCAAATTTAGAAAACAAAAAAAGAATAGCCTTCAATGATCTCAGCGAATCTACAATCCTTCAGAGCGATCTACAATTTAGCAAAAAATTGCTTGCTGTTCGAAAACAAATAATTACAAGAGATGGTAACGTCTCTATTATGAGGAACCAAAAGGATATTCACCAATACGGAAAGGAAACAAATTTAAATGATAATAATGTTACACAACCAAAAGATCTTTCTTCTTTTAATTTTCCAAAAACAAAAAATTTATCTTTCGATCTAAATAACTTGGTTTTTAACAAAATAACTCCTTTAAGAATATCTAATTATGAAAAAGTCAAAGAAACCGAAAACGAAACAGAAACGGAATCTGAGTTAGATTTAGAATCCTCGGAGTTATCAGAATCGACCACCTCCGATAGTTTGTTGGAAAGTGAGCATACAGAACAAAGTTCATCTGGGATTGAAGAGTTATACCACCAAATATCAGACAATCCAATACAAGACATTGATATGATCGAAATATCGCTGTCGTCCGGTGAAGAACTGGAGAACAAAATGAGAGGAAACCAAAAGCAAGGGTACCAACGGGGATCTGCAATCATTGATTTAGATTTTGATGAAATGGAGGAAACACGAACAAGCAAAAGAGAAAGCACAAGGGTTGAAAAGAAATTGGAGGTGAATGATTTTATACCCAAATTCGATACCACAGCTTACACCCAAAAAAAAAATGCAAATGGCGATTATTTCTTAACAAAGGAAAATATGGAAAGTGTAGATTATGCCTTACAGAGTTCCTTAAAAACAAGTCAGCAGGATTTGCTCTTATTTAAAAAATTCAACATAGGTATCAATCTATCGCACTTCCGGTGCCTGAGGGTTGGCGGGTGGCTCGAGGATGCCGTGATCAATTTCTATTTAAATCTCATCTCTGAAAGAAGCCGAAGAATTAAATCCTATCCCAAAATATATTGTTTCAATTCCTTCTTTTATGAGTCATACAGCAAAAATGGCTATTCAAGGGTCAGGCGGTATACGAGGAAAGTTGATCTCTTTGAATACGACATGGTATTAATACCGTTCCATTTGGGCAACCATTGGACTTTAGGCGTGATCGACTCTAAAAGGAAAATCTTCCGCTATCTTGATTCAATGTCTGGCAATAATTCTTTGAACTATACATATTTGAATGCCATGAAAAGTTACTATTCACAAGAGCACCTGGATAAAAAAAAGATTAATATAGATGAAGAATTAAATCAAAATTGGTCTTTTTCTAAGGAATATGTCCCACAACAAAACAATTGCAACGACTGTGGCGTTTTTACTCTCCTTTTTGCTGACTCGGTTTCAGCGGAAAACTCACTTTGGTTTTCTTGTAAAGATATGAAACGTTTAAGGAAAAGAATAATTTTTGAAATTCTAATCCAATTCAAATTTTAATATTTTTTTACTTCAATTATCAAACCTAACCTCAGAATTATTACATAAATTCAATTTATTTGATTTTTTTTTAAAAATAACCATATTTGCTGTTTTTTTTTTTTTTTTTTTGGAATTAATAACACTTTGTGCCAACTGAGTAAACACCAGAAGATATTTCATGTTGTTTATTTTACTCAAAAATGATGATATAATAAGGTGACGACAATTTAACAATTAATATCTCACTTGTGAATCAAAATGACAATTTTTATAGCTCAGCAACGGGGGGGGGGGGTGCTTAACTTTATTAATATAAGTTCTATATGGACAAACAAAATAGCAATGTGTGCCACATGTTGGATGGAAAAAAATAAAAAAATCTTACAAAAAACTTGACAAAAAATTAAATCAAATTTTGTTCATGTAGTTAGTTTCGTTTTTCTATGAAGTACAAAGGGAAGATTTATTAGATTTTGTGATTTATTTTGATTTTTTTAATTTTTAAAATTTTCAATTCCAGTCCACATTCATAATATTGTTTTAAAGTCGGTTCCACTTTTAAGGCACAAACTTTCAACCAAATTTAAGGTACAAATAAATCTCAAATTAAGGCACGAAATTTGTAATTTTTTTTTAAACAATTTATTTTACTAGAATCTAAATTTTGTGCCTTGATTTGAGATTTTTATTGTGGCTTAAATTTAGTTGCAGTTTGTGCCATAAAAGTCGAACTGACTGTAATTAAAAATTTAAAAGTTTATTGTTTATTATTCATCATACAGATTTGAAGATTGACAATACTTTGAGACTACCTTGTTAAATATTTTTATTTCGTCAAAACCCTTTCTTGATGAACTTGTATTTTTTTTTTTTCATTTAAAAGGTAGTTTTTTTTTACACTTTGATTTTTTATTTGTGAGTAAAATTCTGGATTGTTCAAAGTTACGTTTTTTTTTTTAACCGAGGTAAGTGAATATTAAATCAAAACGACTTTCCTTTAACAAAATATACTAAATAATGAAAAAAAAAAAAAATCAAATATTTATTAATTTGATAATTTGGAGTTGAAAATAAACTCTTTTTCAAATAAAAATGTTAAATTTTTATTGAGAATTATTCATAATGGAATCAAATTAATTGTAGTATCATTCTAAAATATAAGAAACTCTTTAAAACATATAAAAATAATACAACCGAATATTTAAAATTAATTAAAAAAAAAGCAATAAAAATTAAACTAAATATTTTAAAAATCGGTGCCCTATTATTTGAAATGAGAACTCTCGTTTTTTAAATTGTTTGGAAAAGTAAATTATAAAATCAATAAAAACCTTTGAACAAATTGGAGTGAGAAAAAGATCAATACATTTTATTGATAATTCTTTACACATCAAACTTTTGCTCTTTAAAGTCTCATTTCCAAGATATGGCTGGAATTCATCTGGGTATTTTTGTTGGAATATTTTTTTCTTTATTTTCTCTTTTCTTTGTTACATACATCAACCCAATAATGCTATTTCTTAATTCCTATATCCAGTTCATTCGAAATCAAACTTAAACGGCTTTGATTTTTATACACTGGTAGATTATTTCCAAATTGGTTTTTTTTTATCTTTCTTTTTTCATTTTCCAACGGTTCAATATCCACAAATAATATATAAAAAAATGAAAAAATAAATAATTGGAAATTAAATAACCAATAAGTAATATCAAATTAACAATTCAATTAAATAGTATTGATGATTTGGGAGATGTGCCCTTCTGTTTGAAAAAGAGTTTAGTTATATATATATATATATATATATATATATAATACAGTTATTGTCTCCACAGAATTTCCAATGATATACATAAAATTTTTATACTATCAGAATACCCCCTTTCGTAATTCTAATTGATTTAAAATCACTTAAAAAAAATTAATTAAAAAAAAAGAAAATAAATCTACAAGTTTTCAATTAACTCATTATTGATTCACTTGTTTTTTTTTTTCATCTTAATAGTATTTTTTTTTAGTTTTTTTACTTATTCTATAGCGAAGAAGAAAAATAATCAAGTTGTGCAGGTATAATATGGTTGGTAAAAATTTAAAGAAGAGAAACCATGGTGACAATTTAATTTATAGATGATGTAACTACCTCGTACTTGTATATACTTCTGATGAATACATAAATCATTTCTTATAGTAGTGATCAACTAATCTTAAGCAAAGTATTACCTAAATAAGGTGAAAATATCTTATACGATATTATATTCCACTACAGTATTTATGAAAATATCAATTTATTTGGCTCAAGAAATGATTTGAAGAATTCAATTTCACAAAAATGCTGGCACTCAAAAAATGAAAAATGTACTTACTCCCTTAACATTATTTTTTTGTATTTTTGTTTTTGAAAATCAAAATTAAAATCTATGAAATGAAATAAATTATCTTGAAATTATAATTCAAGTTATTATTTTCAATTACGCAAACAATAACACAATTTTGAATCTACTTTTAATCTCAAATCCAAAATCAGAAAAAGTTTTTTGGAGATCTCAATAATAGTTACAGTTGGTATCAATTTTACCTCACAAAGTTTGAAAAAAAATTAAGACATTCAGAAAATTCAAAATTAAGACTCAGTCCTTTGTTTATGAGAAAAAGTAACTTTGTAAAAAAAGTCTTCCAAAAAAACGTCAATTGATTTGAGATACTTGTAGATTTTTAAATCGTATATATTTTAGGATTAGTAATTCAAAAGGATCTAAATCTGAGTCGTTTTTGATAATAAAGAACAAATTTATTTGATATGACTTGATAATTTAAAAATTAGATCTTGAAAACATGATAATAATTACCCTCAAACAAAAATAGTTGAACTTTGGGAAATATTGCAAAATCGGATCTTACAATCTTTCCTATAACTGTTAATTGCAATATAAAAAGATCAAAATTTTCATTCAGCTTTCCTAGAATACACCTTCTTTTCATAAAAAATAAAACCCACAAAAGTCCCGGCTTAATATGAGAAAGTGAATAGACTCTTCTTCTCGAACGATTTGAAAATTTTAAATGACTTTAAAAATCTTTTTGGAAAGCTGAATGAAAATTTTGTTCCATTTATTTTTCAACAAATAGTAATGTCAATATCTGAAATTTGAGAACTTGGTGGTACTTCAAGATAAAAAGTTAAGAATTGGAGTAAGATTGGACCAAAATTATTTCGAGTTTCTGTTTTAATTTTGTTAATGATTTTCAAAATTTGTTGTGAATATTAAAAATTGGAATAAATTTTCGACTTTTCTTGGCAATTTTCTGATGATAAAAAAAAATAATTCTTTCAGTTTTTTGCAAACACTGTCTTTTGCATAAGTCAATATTTTATCGAATTAGTCTCTATTCTTTATAAATGAAAAAAAAATAGCATAGCGTTCTATTGGATTTGAACCAATGACCAATTCGAAATGTGATTTAACTAATTAGGTTAACATCCTACCACTAGATTAATAGAGAGATAAACTCTCTATCCAGGAATCGAACCTGGGCCGTTTTGAAACGCTCTATCCGGCTGAGCTAAGAACGCAATAACTTATTTTTATAATTACTCATTATTTGTTATTATTATTGGACAATTAACTTTTATTTTTTTTTCTTTTCAATTCTCGAAGAATACACAAATTGATATTTGATTTTTTGGTTTTTTGAAATTATTTTTGTGAATCCACAATGGTGTTTTCAGAAGAAATAATAATTTGATAATTATTGAGAGTTTATTATAACCGTTCTAAAAAAAAGTCTAAAGACAGTTATTAATTGGGATCATTACATAAAACCTGAAAATTTAAAATAAGATCAATTAATAAAATAAACAATAAATAAATACACATAAAACGAAGGAAACATCACAACAAAAGTTTTTTAAATCCTATCTTTTGGTTTTGCTTTTCTTTGATTAATCTCTCATTATTAAAAATTTTTTGAAAAAATTGACTTATTTTTGAGATCTCCAAAACTACACCAACAATTTGGATAAATCAAGTAGATTTAAATTGTATTTGTTAGTTTGATTGAAAATAATATCCTGGATTATTATTTGAAGTTAAGGACTACGTTGCCACCCTTGAGGGGATTGAGTAATTGTGTTATTTCACTTTCGCTTCTCACAAAAAATTTTCACAGGTAAGAAATTGGACAAAAAAAAAAAAAAAAAACATTTTTTGTCATTTTTTCCTTTTCACGAAGGATATTTTTCTTTGTTTTCAATGAAAAGCAAAATTGAAAATAACAAAAAAAATAACTGTAAAAAATGTCTTTTGGGGATTTTCAAGTGCATTTCAAATTTGAGAACATTTCAAACTTGAAAAAGCAAATTTAAAAAATATGTAGAACAGCTCTAGAAAATAGTGTGAGTTCTGAAAGTTGAAATGGAAATTATAAAATATTAAAATCTAAATTTTGCATAACCTTACAAGGTAAAAATTGTGAAAATTGTTGAAATGTGAAAATTTAACATTTTTTCTCAAAGAAATTCTAATTGGACAAATATTACTTGGATTGCATAACTTATTCAAGGACGATTTTAACCATTATTTCACTGTTTTCACCTAAAAAGGTAGTCCTTAATTAGGTCCATTTTTTAATTGATTTTAAATTTTCAATTCGATTAATGTTCTGCAATTAGAAATCTTTTTCAACTTTTTTTCCCTGTTTGACTTTTCTTCCAAAAGAGTAATCCCTATATTTATCTTTAATAATTATTTTTTTCTTTTTGTGATGGATCTTACTTTTCATTTTTAAAGACTCTTAACGTTATACACTACTCTTAAAAATCAATATTGATCAATTTTTTCTCCAAATCAGATAGAGTCGTTTTTGTAGCTTTCAAAAATTATTCATTCTTTTCAACAAATTTTTAAAAGTGTCTTTTTCCTATTACTGTTATCTTCCTTTAAGCTTTACAATCCCTGAAATTTGAACAAAGGTTATCTTGTGTAGGGTGTAGTGAGTTGTCGATATGGTTCTTAGTTGATCGATCTTGTACTTTATATGGATTTTAATAGTGGTTCAAAATGGCAATTTTTGACAATTTATTTTTAATTTTTCCGAAATCCCACCTGAAGAGTTTAAGATTGATTGGCTCGAACTTAAGTTATAAAAAAATGTGGTTTGTAGGTTGTTGATTGAAATTTTTAATTAAGTTTGGTTTTATTTTGAGCTTTTAAAAAAATTTATTTTTTCTTTTGGTTAATTGACAAAAAAGTAAATCAAGATTCTTTCCGACAATACAAAATTCAAAAGTTATTCTTGAACACCTACCAATCTATCAATCTTAATCTCTTCAGGTGGGATTTCGGAAAAATTAAAAATAAATTGTCAAAAATTGCCATTTTGAACCACTATTAAAATCCATACCAAGAACAAGATCGATCAGCGAAGAACCAAATTAACAAGTCACTACACACCATCCAAGATAACCTTTTTTCAAATTTCAGGGATTGTAAACCTTAATAAAAGAAAATTTTTATTTCAATTTCCAAAAAGAATATTAATTATTACTGCTACAATCAAATTATCAGAGTAAAATTTTTTCTTAGAGTTAATGGATTAGTGTCTACCAAGGAGAAGCCTAGGAACAAAGTATGTTGTTATTGGGCTTAACAACATTAATGCTACATGGTTCAAATGTCTCTAAAAAATCTCAAAGTCAAGTAGTAATATTTGTTGATTTCATCAATTAAAAATGATCTATGTATTAGTAAAAAACCCAATAATTTCAGAATAAAATCTGCATTTAGCCATAAATTTAAAGGTTAAATTATCAATATTCAGACTACAAAGTTACGAAATATCTTTCTTAAATTTGTGGCGAAATATAGATTAGTTACTAAAAAATTCGTTTTTTTTTAAAAATTAAATAATTAACTAATAAATTTTTTTGACTAATTATTTCTCAAATCATGCAAATATATTGATGCTACAAGTATACTTATAAAAAGCAAACAAAAATAATCAGTCTTTGTGCTTTTATGTTGATGATTATTGAGTAAATCCTTGAAATTCCAAAATTTTAAAAATAGTTACTTTTTGGAGGTTTTAAATCTAAATTATTAAATACCAGAATACTGTATTTTGGGTTTCTATTTTTAGATTTGGTAAAGGAATTAAAAAAAAAATTTCTCCAAAATGAAACTTTTTTAATTGTGATCATTAGTAAAAAATATAATAATTTATTGTGCAATAAGATTTTTAATAGATTTTTTAGAGCTATATGTGCCATAGTGCACTAAGACCATTTACACCCAATTACAACATACTTTAATGATTGGTAAATCTATGGTGACGCTAATCCTTTAAATAAGGAAGTTTAAAATACTGTTATCTTCCAATTAATAAAAGAAAATTTTTATTTCAATTTCCAAAAAGAATATCAAGTATTACAGCTTCAATCAAATTACCAGAGTAAAAATTTTGTCTTAGAATTAACTAAGGAAATTTCGTTTATTATCGAAACAATATCATTTCTAAAAGATGTTGTAAAGATCTTTTGGGGTTTTACTTCAACTTTATTACAAGAAAAATATTTTGGATAATGTGAACTAAAAATTTTCATTTTTTAATAAGAAAATAATAGTAGTGAAGTCAATTCTTCTTTGTAGACACATAATTTGAATGAAATTTAATGCAGAAAAAAAAATTCTCAACATAAGGCACAAAATTCAAATTCTCATGAAATCATTTGAGTCAAATAACATTTTAAAAAATATACCTGAATTTGAGATTTTTTTCTGCCTTAATTTTCATTCAAGTTTGTTCCTTAAAATAGAACCGACTGTAAATGAAATTATTTCTTTCATGTTCCCAAAAATATTACAGTAATTATTTGTTGCAAAAACCCAAGATCATGAAAATAATTAATTAGGGATGACTATCAAAACTAGTACCGTTTTTCTAACTGTTCTTTTTAAAAAAAAAAAATCATTATTTTATCTCAAAGTTTCGAAAATTCATAAATTCAAATTACTCGTATTAAAATTAAAATGGGAAAAATTTTCACTACATTTTCCATATTTTTCTGGTTAGGTAAATCTATATTGTCACAAATTTCATCACAATTCTTTGAGAACTCTCTTTATTATAGAAAAATATTGAAAAGAAAGTAAAAATTTTTTTCCCGTTTATAATTCAAATACCAGTGTTTTTTACAAAAACTCAAGATCTTGAAAAAATTAATTGAGATGACTTTCACAACTAGTATGGTTTTTCTAACTGTTCTTGTCTAAGCAAAAACAATAAATTTTATCACAAAGGTTCAAAATTTTAGAATTCAAATACCATAAAACTCAAGATTTTCTTGATCAAATGATTTTGTGAAGATCTTTGTTTTTTTCTCAAAGATTAATATGATTGTCCTATAAAAATATTTGAGAACCAAAAATAAAAAATTTTTATTCTTAATTGGAAAATAACAGTATATATTTTACTTGTGATCAATCAAATACAAATCCTTTTACAAAAAGCTATTAATATCAAAAAATTCCAATTCTTTTAGGTCCTCCATTTTGAGTTTAGTAATTTATTTTTTCTTTTATTGGTTTCACTTACTTTTCATTTTTCCAAAGCTTTGAAATTATATATCTTCTTTCTCTTTTTTTTAACAATAAGAAAATTTTACATTATTCTATAAACCACTGTTTTCTTTTACCCTTTGTTTTCACAATAAGTAATTTAAAAAAGTCAAATACCCAAATAGGAAACAAATTGTTCTCTGCAAATGCCTTACTCGTTATCTCTTTCCAACAACTAAAATAGATTATTCTGAGAATTGGTTACCCTTTTTAAATTAAATTGATCCACTTATTCATCAAGTTGGTTTTCAACAATGAAAAAATCACACACTTTACCCTCAACATTTAAAATTTGATAAATCTTTTGTCATAAATTCAAAAAAAAAAAAAAGAAATAAGTTTTTTGAGAAAATTATGAAATAAGAAATTTTTAAGGAAATTAGGGGTTCGTTGCATTGAAATTACTTGAGTTTGTGGTAAAAAAAAAAATTCAACAAATTTTTGCAAAGTTATTTATTAAAAACTTCTATCTAAGAATCTTCATTTCCACGATAATTAAGAAAACTCCACAACAATCCAAAATGTTCAAATATGAAAAAAAAAAAAAATAAAATAAAAATTCTCCATTTTTTTTTCTCCAAAAGTTCCCTATTTGTATTGAGAAAATTTTCTAAAAGCTCGTTTTTTCACAACTCATTAAAATGAGCGACTTAAGTAATTTCCTTGACGAACAACTAGAAAGACTAACGAAGAAGACAAGCTTATGTCTTGTTACTGGAACACAAAACAAACGAAGAAAACAACGATCCTATTTGGATGTTTTGGCTGAACTCAAATCACCCAAACCGAGAACAACAGACTATTTTCAAAAATCCAAAAGTCTCAGCAACATTGAAACGTTTCTTAGTGAAACAATGAACAAAAGTAAAAATACTGGTACGAATTCAAACACTCGTTCGAGTTTTGCGCTCGATCCAATGATGAATCGAAGCAAAAGTGCAGTTCCAAACAAAAGATC